AGTGTAAACCTTATATAAAGGTTGTTAAACAAATAAAAAGGTTGCTAATCATATAACAAGATTGTTAATCACATAAGCGATTATTACAATATTAAGCGATTATTACAATATTATTATTATTGTTACAATTTTAAGGCACAAAATAAGTTAAAATTTTAAGATACATACTCAGGGCCAGCGCGAGTAGGTGTCACGTGATTTTCTAAATTTACCGACTAACTTCTTCATTTGCCGACTGACTAGTCGAAAAGGGTCAAATTTGCCGACAAAATAAACAAAAAAAACATTGATGGGTAGAGGGTGTCACACCCCTCCTTCCCAATTCCCTCCCCCCCTCCCCACACACACATACCATTGTGCCGGCCTTGTACACACTCAACAACTCATCACGATGACAGTGGAATTTTTAATCTACAGCTAAGTCGAGGATCAATCGCAATATTCTTTAGCATTATATAAGTAGTCATATACCAACCTTTAATGACAAAACAAATTTTTCAAGATTTGTGTGATTAAAGATTTTAAAAAGAGTAGAACTTCAGTTATACAAGATTTTTCATTGCTTATCCAGCAATGGATTGGCAATGAATTGGTTAGATTTCTGGCAATAGTTGACTGTGAAAAAACAAACAAAAAAAACAAAAAACAGGCGCTAATATTGTAAGCAATTTGAATTAAATTTTAGTTGAATTGAATATTTAAGTTTATTATTTTGAAATGATCTCTTGATTTTTTATGATAATTTTTTTATTAGAAATTATTTTGTTATTTGAAATATCCTTAGCCAAGAAATAATTTTTTTTTTTAAAACATTCAAAAGCTATTTAAACCTTTTTTCTTTTAGTCCATTTACGGAAAATACAACAAGAAACTTCTCATTGATTCATTGATTCTTCATTCATTCGTTGATTACTTCATTGATTATTCATTTATTGATTACTTCATTCCATTTTAACCACTATACAGAGACCAAATTGTTGTTTGTCAATTAACTAAAAATTATTTAAATTTAATCGTTTGTCTTATGAATGAATAAACTCGCTAGCAGATAATTATGCAAGAGCTGTTAGTTAAATTGCATGGCTATATATATATATATATATATATATATATATATATATATATATATATATATATATATATATATATATATATATATATATATATATTTTATGCTTTAGTTTTTATTAGCCATAAATCTTAAGTCAGTTGCAGAACGACAATATATACTCATTTGCAAATACCGACCATTAACTAGCTATAGATAATTCATTTTATTGTATTAATCTTTTTTTGGTATGATAGGTAGCTATGTAGACGTACCATAATAAAAAAGGTTGTGGAGTATAGCTCAAAATATTGCAATAAAAACGCAATCTATAAAGTTTTATGGACAATAGCAACGAAACCAAATAACAACGTGAAAGAAAAAAAAATTCACTATTTAAAAGTTGCTATACATGAAAGCAAGACATACTTGTAAGCACATTAGCGACAAATAAAAAATAAAAGGTCTAGAGAATAATTTCGCTGTTTTTATTGTTTTTTTTTTTAGTTTTATGCTGTTTTTATTGGTCATTATATATATTTTTTATTTTATTTATTGCTATAAAACTTAGTAACTATCCAAAAAACGTGTTTACTATGTATTTTAGATGTCAAAAGTTCACAATCAAAATTCATTGCATTAGTTTTACTCAATCTGATAGACATGAAATAATCTGATGTTGAGATATTTGATGTATGTTGAGATATGTTGAGATATTAGTTTATTGATTATTTTGCCCAGTAAAAGTCGTACAGCTGTCAGAAAGATGATGTTACACGATAAAAATTATTTGCTGTTTTTGTTTGATGTTCTTTCTTATCGCGCTTGATTTCCCATAATTAATATATTAATATATTTCAATCTGTATATTATAAACCTATTTTAGTTAAAATTTCCATAATTTATTTAGAGATAAAATCTTATTCAATGATTTTTAAATAGTTAATCTTAAAAATTTATAAAAAAGTATTAAGTTTTTTTAACAAACAATTTTGGAGTTTTATTTCTTATTTTTTTGATTCACAAATCTTATATGTTGGATTGTATAAAAAAAATACCTTTAAACATGCATTTAAAAAAGCATCAAAAATAGAGACAGTAGTATTTTTGATGACATAAAATAGGTGTATTTTAGGAGCTTTAAAATTGCCATTAATAATGATATATGCAGTTGATTTTTTCTAAAAATAGTATATGCCGCTATTGAAACAGTTACGTATATTTATAGTTATACGTATATTTATAGTTTATATATGTATATATTTTTTTAATATATATAATATACGTACATAATAAGTATATATACGTATATTTATAATATATATATATATATATATATATATATATATATATATATATATATATATATATATGTATATATATATATATATATATATATATATATATATATATATATATATATATATATATATATATATATATATATATATATATATATATATATATATATAGTATACGTATATTTATAGTTTATTTTGAACATAAATGATGTTATGGTATAGATATGTTTCAATTTTAAAATTCAACTGAACATAACATAATATATAAATCTAAAATAGTATGTAACCACAAGCAAAATAGTGTAAATTCTTATAATTATCTCAACTGAGTCACTAATTTAATCTATAAACAACAAAACCTTAAATCAAAAATTATTACTTTTGATTTAAGGGAATATTACATATTGCAGTATAAATAAATAAATAAATAAATAAATAAAAAAAATTACTTATATTAATGATAATATTACATTAAATATGAGAACATTTACACATATTAATTAGCTTAAGCCAATTATGTGTATTGTGTAGGTATTTGCATCTTCTAACAATGTGTGCATTTCCTGACCGCTTTCTCTATGTTATTTTTCTTCTTTTTCTCTTTCTAATACGAATGCTTCTATCTTTAGCTCAAATATATCTTCGTTCTTCCTAACTTTACTTTACTCCCAGTCCGTAGAGAAGGTTATGACGTACCTTGGGGATCCAAACTTGTCTCTGCGGGCCAAGGTAATGTGGCCTCTGTATGGCAACTACCCGAAAAAGGATAAACCACAATACCCATCAAATATGAGAATACGTAAACTCTGTAAAATGGTATACGCAAAACAGTTCCCTATTAAGTTAACTTGATATTGAGCGTAAATTGCACATTCTAACATCTGGCGCAATATCTGACCGCTTACTCTATGCAATCTTTCTAATTCTACTTATTCTGACTACCGCTTAATTATTCTTCGTTTTTCTCAAAATCACATACTCTTGGTCTCTGAAGCAGGTTATGATGCTCTTTAGTGAGATGAACTCGTCTTCGCAAGCCTTAGTATGTGGCCTCTATATGGCAATTAGCCGGAGGAGGATAAACCACAATACCATCAAAAAAAATTTTAATCACAATACAAAAAAAAGTCAAACATGATTTTCAGATTTGAAGTCAGTATGATCGATCTAGAATAAATCTCATCAAAGTTTTGATTTCGGCCGTAAAATCGACGTTTTATTAAAGTTAGATTAATCGTAAATATAAAATAATTTCCTTTTCAAGTCTTTTACAAAAGGTTTAATATTTTAGAAGGTCTAAAATACGCCGAAATTAAAATCATATATTTTCATATTTCTATCGCTCTGACTTATTTCCATATAAACCCAATTTAAATTAAAAACAATTTACAATTTAGTTTACAAATTTTCAAAACAAATAGATACTTGTAAACGATGCTGTAAAATTTTGAAAGTTGAATTTATTTTAATGTTGTCTTTTTTAGACATTTTGCCAAGTTTTAAATTTTAAAAGATCATTTTTGTCAGTTTGATAAAAGGTTGTTTTATTTTTTTTATAAAGCATAATAAAATTTTTTATATAAAACGTCATATTATTCAAATTAGCTCAATAAAACAAGATAATAAAAAAACATCAATAAAATAAGTTGAACTAATTTTATAATTTTTTCATTCTTCCTTGTGTTAAACCACCTAAGAAATGAATATAAAGATAATTGCAATAAATTTAAAATAAAAAATAATTATTTGGGTTTGTTTTTTATTTTTGAGAATTTGTTGTTTAATATTAGAGCAGATGTTACTGATGTTCCATACTTTGCGGTTAACTAAGACTAAAGCTTAGTTGAAACATAGAAACATTAAATGTGTCTATTTTTAGAATTCCTGATAATTAGGTATTGTTTATACTTCAAAAACTTTTGTTTATAAGTAAAGTCTATTGTTTGTAGTACTTTTCAACGACAGAGGTAAAAATAAAGGCAACAACGGCTCTATCAGTTACCATAAATTTTTAAAACCTAAGAAAAGATAAAAAAATATGTATTTTTATTGTGTTTTTAAACAATTCTTGTGTTGTGTCTTAAAATAATAAAGAAACTCTTAATTTATTTAAAAAACTGATAAATATGTAAAGTTTAAGATTTTACAATAAGAGTGAAAAAAATTATAAAAAATTTACTGAGTTATTAACATTCTCTCTCTCTCTCTCTCTCTCTCTCTTTTTATATATATATATATATATATATATATATATATACATATATATATATATATATATATATATATATATATATATATATATATATATATATATAAATATATATATATATATATATATATATACGTATATATATATATATATATATATATATATATATATATATATATATATATATATATATATATATATATACATATATATATATATATACATATATATATATATATATACATATATATATATATATATATATATATATATATATATATATATATATATATATATATATATATATATATATATATATATATATATATATATATATATATATATATATATATATATATATATATAACAGTATCATTATATGCTATAAATGTTTATGAAAATATATATTTAGGCATTTACAATATTAATTTTTAGGCTTTCTTTTAGATTTTTATGGGTTATTGGTTTCATTGAACTTTGAAGAGACTTTATAAAATCTTTTATAAAAAAGCATTTTATGGAATACAAATGCATACTAGAAATTTTTTTTTTGAAAAATGAACGTAACCAGTTATAAAATTTATAAAATTGCGTGTAATGGAATGTTGCATTTTATGCCTTTACGTCCTTCGTGTGCAATCTCTATTTATATTTCTTCCAGCCTTCTTATAGCTCTTATACCACCTACAGCTATTTTAAATGTAATTGCATTCGCCGTTATATTAAAGACAAAAAAACTGCACACTCCACCAAATGTTTTGTTAGCAAGTACAGCTTTATGTGACTTTCTAAGTGCAATAATAAGCATGCCTTTTTGGGCTTTAGTTTGGTTATTTGCGCTTCATGAAAAGCATTATTGTAGCATCTACGTAGCGGCAGTATTTGCATCCCATGTCTTATCGTACTTATCTTTTTTACTTGTCAGCTTTATTTCAATTGATCGTTATTTGGCAATATTTAAACCATTTTTTTACGAAGAAAAAATAGCACCCAATCCTCATTATTACGCCCGGTCGGTTATAGCATTAACGCTGTTAGTAACAGTAATCAATGGGCTTAGTCTACTTACTCCCAACAAAAAGCTTATTGAAATTGTAATACTTTTATCGTTGCCCCCGTTTATACTTCAAAGTGTGTACATTCATTTAAAGGTTCTTCAAAAAGTAAACGAAGTGCGAAAAATGATTTCCGCTTTTTCTATTGAGCAAAATGGATATTCAAAAAAAGATAAATACATGGATGCTATGGCATTAGAAACATCGGAACAAAGCAGCTGTACCAAACTAAATGAAGATTCCAAAAATAATCAGAGAAAAATTAGACGAATGGAAAAGCAAGTAAATATATACCACCTCACTTTTATTTTGCTTGTATCAGTTGTAATGTGTTATATGCCCTATATATCAATAACTATAATGCTTAGATTAATGCCACAGCTTCGTTATGAAGAATGGACAAACACAACTTACATGTGGTCCTACTTTATCACTTGTATAAAATCGTTAGCTAATCCTTTAATGTACTGCTTTCGCTCACGAATGCTGAGAGAACAAATTAGAAAGACATCAAGAAAGTTTAAAAATGCAAGAAAATGATTACATTTATATTCTTATATATATATATATATATATATATATATATATATATATATATATATATATATATATATATATATATATATATATATATATATATATATATATATATATATATATATATATTGAGAATGATTGATAAAAATTTTTTTTATAAAATAGATAAGAATATATTAAAATAACTCGAATGGAGATTTTCGTTTAACGGAAATGATACCATACATACCATAACGGAAATGATACCATAAGCTATAGTGTTTAAATTAGTAGCTTTTTAAAAAAATTTATGGTTTAGTCGATACTGATAACTTTTGAGCTGATACTTTGTTGAATGATTAGGAAAAATGAAAATAGATAACTTCAATACTTTTTTTAATAACAAAATATTTTGTTGAAATACATTGCATTTAAGAAAATTATTTTGGACACTTTCGTTATTAGAACAAAATGAAACTGCTCCTTAGTCAACAAATTGTTGTTAGATGTCTCATTAGATGTTCAGTCACTTGGTAAGATAAGGATGTAATTGCGACAGGTACAGATTACGGAAACCCTAGGGCTCAAAATTAAATTATTGACTTATTAATTGATGACAAATATTTTAACTTTTTTAAATATTTTAACGCTTTTAAATATTTTAACGATTTTAAACGCGACAAACAGTAGAAGTTCAATTTGAAGTTTTATTTGTGATAAGGTTTTGTATTAAGGTTATGAAAAATTTATAGAAATATTTATAAATATTTTTTATGCTATTGTTTTTATTTACTGTAAAATCATATATACTGTTATATATACCTCATTGGAGCAAACATTCTAGAGGTTTTTAAAGTTAAATGTAAAGAAAGTTTTACCTTACTTTGATAAGGACGTATCATGTCTTTGGATAACTAAAGGAATTAAAAAATCATCGAAAGGGATACAAAAACTGTACATTAAATATCTAAAATATAAATCAGTCAATAATAAAAATAATTTCAAAAAGCTCCACAAAAATGCGAAAAGAAATTACTACTTGTTTCCAAAACACAAGCATAAGTCAAAGCGCATTTGGTAACAAATGAATGAGATCACGGGAAAAAATAAGAAAAGTACAATATCAGTACCAAATGCAATAAAAATTAAAATAAATTATTTAATGACCCTAATAAAATTGTTTTTGCATTTAATAAATTTTTATCTTCAATTGGAACAAGCTTATCAAATAAAATTCCTTATGTTAATGATAAATCAATTGATGAGTTTATAGCATCACCTAATTTAACATTAAATTTTTCAAACCTAACATGCAGCGAACTTGAAGCAGCGTTTAAATCATGATAACGAAATTAGGCAATTGGGGCTGATTGCATCAAAAGAAATGTTGTAACAGACTCTTTTGACGTTTTGAAAGATATACTCTTTAAAATTTGTAAAGGATCTGTTGCTCAAGGATCCTTTTCAGACTCTGTAAAAGTAGCAAAAATAACTCCTATTTATGACCACTAACCTAACCACTATAATTTTTGATGATGACACAAACATATTCGAATAGGTTTATATCATCAGCAAAAATTATTTTTCATGAGCTTGGAATATTCCAATCTCATGAAACATAAAATCACTTTTTAATATTACGACACAAGAATTAAATAAAATCTCCTATTGGTTCAAGAAAAACAGGTTGTCCCACAATATTGATAAAACAAAATGGACACTTTTTACCCAATATCCAGAAAAAAATGTTTACCAAATACAGTGCCCAACCTCTTCATTGATAATAAAAAGGAAAAAAGTTACAAAACTTTTCGGAGTTCTTGTAGACGAAAACATATCCTGGAAACAACAAATCGATAATTTCTCCATGAAAGTTGCTAAAAGTATTGGAATTATATATAAAGTTTAACATATGTTGAATAAACAACAAATAAAAAAACTATATTATTCGTTTATTGATTGCTATTGAAATTATGCAGATATTGTATGGGAAAGCGCGCACAAAACTAAACTTGAATCTCTTTATAAGCATCAGAAACACGCAGCTCGCTTAATTAATTTTCTAAATCGTCTTTCAATTTCAAAACCGCTTCTCAGAAAAACGAAAGCCTTTAATGTGTACGAACTAAATGTTTTAAATATTTTATGTTTCATGTTTAAATGTAAAAATCATTTATCTCCTGATGTATTTATAAACCTTTATAATGTATAACCCATAAACAATTACTATCTTTGCAATGGAAAAAATCTACTAGAACCTTTCCGCCAAACTAAATTTGAACCAATAATAATTTCTTATCGCGGTCCTTATGGAATAAAATAGTTTTGCCAAATTTTGATTTGTCTTTGAAATAGACTTTAACTTCTTTTAAACGAAAATTAAAAAAAGTTATCTTTACAGCTGAAAATATTTTTTCTTGTTTTTAGTTCTTTTGTTTTACATATTTTATCCAGTATATTTATATTTTAAATGCACAGTTATATATAGTTTATGTTGATTTATTTTTATTGGTTAATTTGATTTTATTGTTATTATTGTTATATTTGATATTGTAAAGAGCTTCATGATAAGATCGTATAATATTCTAGAAGTCCTGCTTTTTATATTTGTAATAAAGCTATTCTGTAATTGTAATTTTTTATTGAAGGTAAATAAATATGCGAAAAAATAATAATAATAATAATAATAATAATAATAAGAATAACAAAAAGGCTTTTGATAAAGTTGGTTTTTTGGGAGAAAAGTACCCTTGATTATAAACTTGACCGTTTAATAGGAAAATCATAGTTTACATTTAACCGATTGTTGTCCTATACAAAGATTGATTTTTTAAGTTTAATTGAAAGTTTAATTTTAATACCTATAGTATTAAAATGTTTAATAAAAATAGTATATCAAAATGTTTACCTGTATAACCTATAAGTAGTGGCAGCCTTATCTACTTTACGCTCAAATTTATATTTCAATTATTATATAAAAATTACCTGGAAATATAGTATGGAGTATAAAGTTGTACTTTAGTATTTAGTATGGAGTATAAAGTTGTACTTTAGTATTTTCGTTGAGTTATAATCTCCGTAATTATTTCGTTGAGTTATAATCTCCGTAATTATATTATTGTTTGAAATTTCTGCATCGAGCTAAGCTTTGAAAATCTTAACAGATATAACTCATACAACGTCTAATGGCTATGCGTTCCAATGATTCACTACTTGGTATGTAAAAAACTGATGCCTTTGCTCGCAATTTTGTCCGTATTCTCTTGTCAATTTTAGGTAATATCCTCTAGTTTTTATTTGATTTGCCAGCCAACACAAAGAACACGGGGTTCACTCCATGAGAAAATCTCTATCTTGTTAACAGTTTTATACAATTGTATCAGATATCCCGTAATTCGACGTGTTTTTAAAGGAATTGAATTTAGTAGACTCAAACGATCTTTGTATGATAGTCGAATTACGGGATATCTGATAGTCGGTATGAAGATATTAAACGGGTTGCTCGTCTTTGTCTACTTTTACAAATAAATCCATGTTGATTTTTAGAAACAAGGTCATGCTCGATTAAATAATTAACCATACTGTCACCTATTATTTTCTCCATCACTTTACATACAATTGATGTTAAAGATATAGTTTGGTATTTTCCTTGGTCGAGTCTCCTTTTTTTTTTGAACTGTGGTGTTATATTAGCCATATTTCAGGACAACAACCACTATTTAGCGACTTCTGGAAATTGTGCATAATGTATTGAGAAGTCGTCTTCAGTACATATGCGCTTATTCCATCCACATCAACTGTTTTATTAACTGATTGATCGTTTAGCTTTTTTTAACCAGATTTGCAAATAGTTGCAAATAGCTTCAGTTTGTTTTATAAAACCTGGCAGTTCATCTTCTTCATTTTTGTTGAAAACACTTTCAAACTTAAGCCAATTTGTAATGTCTATTGGAATTGTGATAGTGTTGCCATCGATTCCATTCAAAGCAGTTATAGTAGTTTTAACATTTTGCTTGCTATTAACATACTTACACAGGATCTTGAGGTTGTGCTTTGATTTTATAACCAAGTCAAACTCAAACTCACGATGAGCTTGATTTATGAGTTCCTTTAATTGGTTATTACACACTATAAAAATATAACGCTAACATAACGGCTATATAAAGGTTAGTGTAAAATTTAACATTGGTTACCGTTATGTTAGTAAAAAATATGTCTTAGGCGTTATGAGGCTATATTGCTCATACACTGTACTGCAATATGTTGAGTAGTTTTTTAAAATGGCTCACCAAACAATGGTGTACTCAACATGTTGCAGTACAGTGCATGAGCAATATAGTCTCATAATTAGTATATTTGTTCATAACTGAGTTAATTAATGCATTTACTAAAAAGATCACAAACTTAGGCAAAAAACATTTTAAAGTTTGCAATCTTTTATTGAATTTTGTAATGAGTCTTTTATTAATCTTTGTTCATCATCTTTAACAGCATATTAATTTTAAACGGTTCAAAATAGTTCAGATACACTTTTGCATATTTTTCAATAGTCTCATCTTCTGACCATGTTCAATAGTCTCATCTTCTGACCATGTTCAATAATCTCATCTTCTGACCATGTGAATGATTTAACTTCATTAACTATTGAACCTTCGAAATCTGCAGTTTATAGTACAAAAGCATTAAATTATCAAAGGACAAAAATTAAAGACCTGAAAAAAAAATTAAAATAAAAAAATACAAGTTGAAATTTTATAACATATTGTTATGAAATGTCTTAACAGGTAACATTCTATTGCTAATATCGAAAATGAGGCAGCAAATTGGCGCCATTTTTACTGATATTCTTAAATCCCAGAGCTGTTAAACAAATGACTAGTGAACATTATATCAGAACTGCAATCATCAGAATGAGCTATCAAAAACAATCATCTTACTATAAGATTTGATACTATATTACAAGAAATTATTTATTATTTTATTCACTTGATTCGGATGATAATTAATAGAGCTAAAACTTTTTT